TCTACAGTATTTATTATTCTGAGATAATAAATATAAAATAAAGTAGTACATACAACAATGTCAAACAAAACTACTATTTCTTCGAAAGAAATTCCTCTGCACAGTAGAATTCACTGTCTAATAAAAGGGGTTCGGTCGGGTATATAATATTTTGTCCCTTGTATCACTTTTCAAGTTTATGGGTAGGTGTTCGTAGAATCGGGGACCTATTACCCATGGATTTCTCGTTGCGAGTTCGGTACAGTGGGCACCGGATTGAAGTTTAAATTACAGCCAAATTGAATATTTGTACTCGCTTTGAGCTGTAGTATAGAGTATAGGTAGACTATATTTATAGTTTAATTACAATGCGTATTGCTTGGTTAGCAGTTAAGTTTACCTTTTATTTTAAATTGCATTACTTTGTCACTTATATTGTGGAGACCGAACAATAAACATGTCTCCATAAACCAACGTATTTCGCTCTATCCTAAGAATATTAGATGGCGAACCAAACCAGCGAGCTTATCTTTTGTGATGTAAAATAAGATTTTAAAACCATAAACATGAAGATTGCAAGACAGGAAAATTATAAAACGCAAAATTAATCATAGATTTTTTTATAATATCAAGTGACCTGGTGGTAAACGACACGTCTGTCTATAACACTTGCAGTGCCAAACTTTTAGAACGCATCGTGCGTCTGTCACCTGAGATATAAGTTGACAAATCCCATGTGCCTGTAATTTCACAAGGGTAAGGGTTTACCCTTCGAAACAGCAAGGCAGTAATACTCACATTACTGATTGGCGGTAGAAGTAGGTAAAGTACAATGATATAAAATATAGGGTAGGTACTTCCCTGGACGAACTTGTGACGTTGTGACCTCCGTATACCGTCATCCCACCTTTTTGTGTCGCCTCTCTGCATTCGTATCGTATCGTTTTTTCTTCTTCTACTCATATTTAAATTTAAAATTGTTCTATTTTACCTCGCATTCTGATTTTGTTTCTTTCCATTGTCACTCTCTGCGCGACCGCGGTAGCGAACAGACCGTTATTTATCTTTTTGAATCGTTTACTAGCTATATTTATACAGTTTACATTTTAAAGATTATATTTGTTAAAACCGATTAAATATCTATAAACTCGACTTTCAACGTTTGAATTGCTAAATTTACTAAATAAGATGTTGGAGGCTGCAGAGGCTATTACTGCTATCCAGGCTACACACCATTACAATCCACCAGAACGCCCCCAGCACCAGCAGCACCTCCACAAACTCTTTCACAAGAAGCAACTTTTTTAACTTTCCACTTACCCTTCCGCGCTTTCTCTTCTCTATCATCCTCAGAAGACTCACTGTCTTCTTGAGAAGAGTCGCTGTCTGATAACTTTGCTAATGATGATGAAGATGCATTCATATCTGTAGGCTCTACGTCGTCTGCAGAGCCACTGTTGGACTTCTTTTTACTGCTTGATTTTGAAGATTTTTCCTTTTCCTATAAAAATATACTAACTTACTTAATCACCCTGTTATTACTACTAGAGGCGGGATATAATCGGATGCTAAAATTAAAAATGAACATGAAAAATATGAAATGATCATTTGAAGTAATATTGTAGAAAAAACATAAATGTGGGTTACACCAGTTTTGCGCTGATAGCCTAAATTTATTTACTATTCTATTGCTCGCGAGCATGGAATGAGCTTTAGTATCGAAATAAATGAAAGACGCAAAGATTAAGTACAAAAATTGAAGGCATATAAACATTTAAAATAAAATACATAAACAATTATGAAAAGAAATAATAGTTTTCAATAAACATTTAAAATGTCATTTGTAATTTTATCAAACATTTAAATTAATCTTTACAATAGTAGTATAATAGTAGTTTCAAAGCTTTTCAATTATTTTTGTAAAAAGTAAGCAATTCACTAAATTAATAAAAAATAATACCAATTCACGTGACAGTTTTCTCTTCTTAGATGGTGGAACGCACACCACGCTTTCTATCCTCTTGGAACTTGATGCTTTGGACTTTGAAGCCTCTGAGTGGCCCTGTATGTATCTCTCTGCCGCGTTGAATAGGTCAAGTTCACTGTTGATGTCTAGATTTTCCTGAGCAAATATTGTTTCCAGTGTCTCTATCTGAACATCCAGGATACTGTTGTCTTTTAACACTTCTTTTGTTTTTATTTTGATCAACTGTAAACAATTAATCTCATTAATGTCGTTTAAAGAATAAACATGAAATATTACCATAGTAAAACAAGATGAGAACGGCAACTCCAGCCTGTTCGGCGTATCAGGTTGTAAACACCATTTTAATATGTAACTTTATAATTTGAAAAAAACGGACCGGGAAAGACCCCCTCATCAGATTCGGACTTGGTGACAATGGGACTATTACGGACTCTTTTGTACATTTCGCATTTTCTTTTCTGGTTGTCATGGTGACGGTAATATATTGATAACATGTACTGTGTCAAGGAAAAGTCAACTTTTGTTTGTGGAAAATAATTAGTAATTTGTGATAGCCAAAACGAACCCGGAACAGCATCATCATCTTCCCTTTCAAATAAAAAAAGAATTTTCAAAATCAGTGCACAATTGATGGAGAAATTGGTGAATACATAGGGCGCACTATAAGTTTCCGGAACTGGCCACTTACATAAACAATATTTAGTATACTTTTTAAGTAATCACAACATTTGAAAATGGAACTCTTTGGCTGAAGAATACAGTTTGTTTCATCTGACTGTCACTTGTTTTTACATTGTGGTGTCATTTTAGAAATTGGTTGTCTGCATCGCCATGGATTTAACTCGTGAAAATTGTCGTAATATCATTTTCTACGACTTTAAGTGTAATTTAACAGCTCAGCGGAGCTTCGCTCGGCTTCAAACTGCTTTGGCGATGAACCTCCTTGCAAGACGACTATTTATAGCTGGTTTGCAGAGTTCAAACGCGGTCATGTGAATCTCAGTGGCTAATTTCCTAAGTGAACAACAAAAACATCGAGTGCGCCGTATAATCAAAACAGACAGACTTGTGACTTACCATGAGATTCGGGTATCTTTAGGCATGAGTCAAATACAATCAATACTACACAAACATTTGGGTATAAAAAAGCTGTGCTCTCGGTGGATCCCACACAATTTGACTGAGGCTCAAAAAACTGCTTACCAGATTCAACGAAGGGGCGTCAATTTTAACAGGTGACAAAACATGGATTTATAGTTACGATTCCAAAACAAAGCAGCAATCGAGCGTATGGGTCTTTCGAGCCAAAACAAACCAAAGTGACACGCGTGTAAAGTGCCTCTAAGCGGATGATTGCTTCTTTTTTTAATAAAACTGGACACGTGCCTATTGTTGCTTTTTTACAATCGTTGTACCATGAATAGGGATTGGTACACGACCATTTGTTTGCCGGAAGTGATTGACCAAAAAATAACCGTAAACGCCGTATCATCTTGCACCACGATAACGCCAGTTCTCACACGGCCAAACAGACAAATAAATTTTTGAAGGTGACCTTATGAGCCAACCCGCGTACAGTGCCGACCTGGCACCTTGTGACTTTTATTTATTTCCAAAAATCAAAAACCAGTTAGGCGGTCAAAGATTTTCATCACCTGAAGAGGCTGTCGAATAGTATGAAAAATATGTTTCAGAAATTGTCACGGAGGAGTGGCATAAATGTTATCAAAATTGGTCCATTCGCATGAAAAAGTGCATTAATGCTAACGGAGAATATTTTGAGAAACAATAAATTCACTTACGACTATTTATAGTATTTTTTTTTGTTATTCATTCCGGAAACTTATAGTGCGTCTCACGTACACGGACATGCCTATGAAATTTGAGGATTTCCTTCGATTTTCATGGGTTTTCATCGGATTTTCATCACTTTCAAGAGGGGATCCTCTTTACATTCAGACTTGGTGAGAATGGTGGGACTTATCAACTTAGTCTCAGGGTGACGGGCGCAGTGGTAGTGCCCCTCAGTGCTTTGTGTTTTACAGCTCTGACTGGCAGTGCAACTGTTATGGACAAGCGTGTCGCTTACCAACAGGCGCACGACTTGTTCGTCCCATCACTTGGTATTATAAAAAAAGAAACACGTCGACTATTTGATATCATTTTTAAACAGCAAGCGGACGCAAAGCAAGGCATTACTGCGGTCCGGTTTTGAAGGGTAAGTAAGCTAGTGAAATTACAGGCACATGGGACTTATCAACTTATGTCTCAGGGTGACGGGCGCAGTGGCAGTGTCCCTCAGAGCTTAGTGTTTTACAGCTCTGACTGGCAATGCAACTGGACAAGCGTATCGCTTACAATCAGGTCATTTGGTGTTATAAAAAAAGAAACATGTCGAATATTTGATGCCATTTATAAACACCAGTGTGGGGCGTTAATCAATTAAATTTCAATCAGTAATTCAATCAGATTAAAAAATCAATTCAATTGAAATCAATTGCGACGCGTCGCAATTGATTTCAATTATAATATAATTATAACATATTGTGTTGGGGAGTGGGGTTGGGTGTCGGATGGGGGCCGGTTGTGGAGCCGGTTGGGGGGCCGGTTGGGGGACTAACTCTAACTCACCCCCTAATCCACCCCTAACCCCCACAACCCAAATCCTAACCCCCCAACCCAAATCCTAACCCACCCCCTAAAAAAAACCCTAACCCCCCCACCTAACTCACCCCTAACCCCCCAACCCAAACCACCCCAACCCAAATCCTAACCCCCCAACCCAAACCCTAACCCCCCAACCCAAATCCTAACCGACCCCCTAACCCACGCCCTAACTCACCCCCATATGCCCTATAAATTTATCATAATTGTCAGTTTTAATTGTTAATTGTTAATCAAAAACATTGAAAATATTCAAAATTGATTAATTGTTAATTGTAGATATCCGCGATTAACGATTGATCAATTGTTAGTTGCGAGAACCGCAATTAATTAATTGTTAATTGCGGTTCTCGCACCTAACAATTGATCAATCGTTAATTGCTGTTTCGCAATTGACAATTAATTAATTGTCAATCTTTAATAGTCAGAACAATACAATTTTGCCCAACACTGATAAACACCGAGCGAATGCTTAAATTTCTTAATGAAAGACGCGGGCGACGACCGGCTCTGTACAATACGAGGTTATGCGAATGTGTGCAACAGTGCACGGCACACGGCGGCCGTACATCATTGAAGCCGCGTTGCTACGTTTGTCTGGAGTTACCGTACTTGTCTTATTATTCTATGATATTACTGTCAAATTCTATACAACCTGTTCTGTTATAAATTAATTATGAATAAAAAAAAGAATGTTTATTCACTCTGCAGTGTAAGTAACTTTTTATGACGACAGATGTAAAAACTAAATTTAACATTGCAGTATGGCCTGGGACAATAATTAACGAAGTGTTCTATAATAACTTCCAAGGGTCCTTGGGTCCTTGAAAAAGAATAAATTTTTTTTAAAAAGAACTGGCCTCAAAATTCATGGAATTTCATCTGTTGGTTACCAGAAAGTGCGCAAAACGGGATTCATACCCTAGATTGCCAACCGTAGAGGTAGTGTATTTTCTTCAAATTTAAATGGGACCAATGAGGTACCCTGAGGTACCCTCTTTCCAACAAAAAAGACTCATCAAAACCTGTTCACTAATGTCAGAGTACTCATACATACATACAAAAAAATATATAGTTGAATTGAAACCTCCTCCTTTTTTGAAGTTTGTTAAAAATAACTGCGATTGTATGAGACGTTAATGTAGATACATCCACGAAAGTGGGACCCATTTAAGCATGTTGTGACTAAAACTTTGGCTTTCCATCATTGGAATAATCCACATTAAACAGGTAGTACCTATGTACTGTATGTACCATACATAATACTTCTTCATATTAGACATAAATTACCTATGAAGCATTTCCATTTAGAGGTTTATACCTTTGTCTAACTGTCGCTGTTGCTTGTTGTTTAAATGTGTTTTTCTTGAAAAGTTTCTCACTTTCAGTTAAATTTATCAAAATCACTGTGTTAGCTATCAAAAACACATTCATGTTTGTAAAAAAATCCATATTAGAAAGGCAGGGAGACAAAAAAATCTTGTCATGTGGTCTACAAGACAAAAAGTTTGGAAACCTCTGGTCTAGGAGGACTTCCACATTTAGTTGTTCTACAAAGCACTAACAACATAAATTGTAATTAGTTTTGTTATACAATAAAGTGTTTACATACATACATACTGCTTCTGTTCATACTGCGATTTTATGCACACATCAATAAATTATAATGACTAACTACTGAAATGCTCTAGAATCTAACTAGAATCTAGCACTAAAATATAAATCGCCCTTCTAAACAACATAATTTATTAAAGTGTCATACCTCTAAGCTCTCCTTCATGAGACATTCTTCACTGAACAGACGTCCCAGTTCATAAGCCTTGCAGGCAGTCTTAGGCGTCAAATTGCTGGAGATATAAGATGCACATACAGTTGCTAAGTGTGGCAGCATGTACTTCTGTGCTCCATAGTACAGATTGTATGCATTATTGAATGAATCTATGTTTATATCATCCGTGTACAGGTACCTATAACAAAATCGTGTTGGTTCTTTATGTGATGGTATGGTGTAACAGGCTGTTTTATGCAACTCAATGTTGTACCTGTTTTGCTTTTTTCCTTGAGGAATATTAATCAGGCAATCTCTTACATAAACAATAAATGCTGCAGATAACAGCAAAAAAGTTTTACTAAAAGACAACAAATTATTTTTAATTTTTTTGACTTTGTAGTTTTTGGCGGCTTGAGTGCTGAGTAACATTTGTTAAAGTCAAATAATCATTTAATTTTATTCCATAGGTAACATTATTTTTTTTACACTCAAAACATAATTTTGAACATTAGTTAACTGTGCTGACTTCTCTGAGAAACTGATTTGATTGGAACTGGATTGCTCTTTCCAAATAAACTTAAATACACTTTGAAGTTTGATTTATATTTGTGTGGAATCTTGACTCATGTTGTCTGTTCATACCTTTATCTAATACATAGTCATGACATGACTTTTCAATTAAAATACTTTTGATTAAGTTTTAAACTTAGGAAATTATAATCTTAATATATGCTCTATTTTAATATCTGCTGCTATAGGGCCAGAAAATATGGGTCCTTTCGACGACCCACATTTGATAGAAGGATATAGTGTATAATTTGTAGACCAATTAATGTATCAGTTCACATAGCAAGCATTAAATAACAATACAAACAACTTACTCCAAAAGAATTTTAAATATTTCTGGAGCTATATCGGGTATTGTGATAGGATTGTTGCTGGATGCCTCAACCATGGGTCCATAGAGCATTGCCTCGAAGACGGGAGATGCCGCGGCTAGCACCAGCCGGTGCGCCTTTTGGGTGACTCCGCCGACAGAAAAAGTGCAATCAGACAACTGACCGGTATTTAGCAAATGAGCACCGCGTTTTTTCCACTCCGCGCAGCCCAATTGCCACTGATCTTCTCTTCCACTTCGCGACATTATTTTATTATTATTTCACGTAGTACACTCACTATTGTCAACGAGGAATGTATAAGTATTACACTTTTTATATCTTCGCTTAACACCTCAGATTGATGATTATTGACAGCTTGCCCCGTCCATTAAAGTATCTAAAGAGCGATTTTATAAGCTGAACACAAAGCTACGTACATATATCCTAGATATCTATACTCAAACCGATCAGAGCAAAGATATATGTATGTGCCAATTCATACACAACACACAAATCTTTTATCTTATACTGTAAGAACGTTTGAGAATGAGAAATACTTCGCATCTTCGCAATAAAATAGAAAGAATCCTTGAACAAGTTCAACAATTTTTTGTTTTGACAGTTACTTTTTTTATTTTCGTGGCTAATGAAGGACATTGGAGTGCAATGTATTATAGGAGAATGGAATGGAAAATAATCAACATGTGGACCTCGTCGTCGTCGTCGTCGAAATATAGCGTAAAGGCCAGTTACTCAAATTAAGTACCTTCAAACTTTTTTACCGTCCGATTTCATATCAACCATAGATTTGGTATATGATATTTGTAAGTCAATGATGATATTATCAACAATAATACATCAATGTCTTCGTGACTATTAGAAAAAGAAAAACAAGGAAATGGTCCCACCAATAATCTGCAGGTAATCGAATTCCACCGCTGAGCATATCTCCTCTATGATCATTTGATGTTTGACATCGTCTGTTTTTTTGTAATACTTATTTGAAATGGCGTCTACATTTTTTACATACTCCGGCCTCATAATTAATGTAAGAGATTATTGCGTGTACACAAATACACTCGTAAGAGAATTTTATTTTTTTTCCATCCTCTAAGGGGAAATAACACTAAACTTCGCAAAATAGGCGCCTTGACGTCGAGTTGCGGACACTAGCCCGTTACACCAAGTACCAAGTAACACTAAACTTACACTGCGTGGCATATCATAGATTTAGTATTGGCATATGGTATTTTGCTGCGCTTTTTTACGAATTTGCTTATATTGAAAACTAAAAATTATTATCTTTAACATCTTTAAGTACTATTGACCTAATTGGTAGGTCAATGTGAAGTACACTAAATTTAAAAAAGTTTAAGTTGTGTTTGAATTAAGGTGCTGCCAGAACAACTTTATAGTAGCTTCCGACAGAACTTTAAAAATATAAAAATTTTGTGCAATCAGATTTAGGCTTGGTGCGGTAGTTCTGGAGATTGAAGAGTGGTGCCGCCGGAATAAGCTTATTTCAGCGTGGATACTAAAACGCAACTTTGAAACGGCCGCGTTTTTTATTGGACTAATCGAATTCTCCATTATGATCACTCACGAAGACCTGGCGTGCTCAAGTTATAGCTTAAAATGTGGATTAGGAGCCCTTTTGTTTGGTGGCTCAAAAAAATAAACCAACATTTTATTGCTAATTTTCGCTTTTAAAACTTCCTTGTTAATTTGAAAGCTATAAAAATTCAAAATAAGTTTCTGAAATGTAGGCGATTGAAGCTTTTCAGTTTCACGGGTAGAGGATTGACAGAAAATGAAAAACAACACACACTAAACAATCACAATATATTCAATTACAGACAATATTGGAAATAAATAATGGAAACCTACATTTTTTTCTAAACACTATTTCCCTTACGTGTTGCCTATTAATCTACTTTCCACTAAATGAGGTAACATAACAGGGTAATTTTCAGATTAGTTTTCTCTGCCTAATTTAGGTGGCAATTTTTATTATTTAAATGTTCGAGTATATTATTGTGAAATATTAAATAATATTTCAGGATACTACACTAGATTAATTATTTTTTTGAAGACCTATACTGTCCCACTGCTGGGCAAAGCCTCCTTCCCTTCTCTTCATACTCCTCTGTTCTGCGCCATGCGCCACTGAGGTCCTATCTTTCAAGTGCGCGTCTAGCTCGTCTCTCCATCGACGCTTTGGTCTGCCTTATGGTCGTTTCTGTCTTTGGGGATCCATTTTGTGGTGGCTTTCGCCCACGACTCGTCCGACATGCGGCAGAAATAAATAAAAAATACTTCATGATAATATTCTAGAACATTCAAATATTAAAAATTGCCACCGAAATTAGGTAAACTTAACCAGAAAATTACCCAACTGCTATTTATACAGGCCGTATATTTGAAAGTGAGACATGTCATAGTAAATCATGTTACAACTTAACATAGACTAAAATAAAATTAGGATATGGGATAGAACAAAAAATAAATCAACAAATGTGTTTTGAAGTGTACATAGGAATAAACCGATTCCCTTTACGCTTCATTTCGAGTGCAATGGGAATGCTACCAAGCGAGTGCCGAGTGAGACAGCAACAATAACAATGATTTCACATTTACGTTTTAGCTTATGTTAATTGTTTTTTACTTGAACTATCACCGAAACGTTTTACGTACTAAAAAAGATAAGTGATGATTTAGTTACTAGTTATCATTTAATAAGAATTGAGGTTTTTGGCGTAGTTAAAAACGTGAAATCAAATTATTTACAATGATTGATTTTTTAGTTATTTACAGTTTATTTACACTTGCGTGTTACGGAGCAAGTGTTCAAAATGTCCACCGTTTTCCACAATGCATAGCCTAACACGGCATAGTAAATTTTGTTTTAAATTGTGCAACACAAACACATTTTGTCTCACAGTATAAAATGCTGAGATAATCCTCTCACGCAACGCTTCGACACTGTTCACCTCCCCTGCGTAAACTCCGATTTGGGAACATTTCAATAGCTTGCCTCACATTATCACCAGTTTTTGCGTAAAGTCGCACCATCTCAGTCAATTCGACGTTAGAATAAATACCCATTTTGCGGCGACCGGGCGGGTGGAAGTACAAATAATTTACGTGTTTTCGTTAGATCAAGGTCGAGCGTGGACTGAGCAATTTCGCGTATGCGCCCGCGTCCTCACCCCCGACCTGTGCTTTGCTTTTCGCCGCTGCGTCGGAGCAATAATAGTGATGTGCATAGATTTCGATAACTAATGTTGTGCTCAAGTAGTAGTCGATAAAAAAAAATTAAAAAATATTTTTTGTAAAGTTTAAGTTCATTAGTTTATTATTTCTTTGGGTTCAGAATCAGGAATATAACGCACTCTATAAGTATGTCCCTCTTTCAAATATACAGCCTGCATAATGACAAATACTACTTTGACAATTATATTATATTATTTGATAATTATTATATCGTATTTGGCATTTCTACCCTAAAGCAATCATGTATGTCTTCTGCAACCGTGTAAGCTTTTCATAATAGACCATTCGTACAGGGTCGATACCACGCCAAGCTTTAAATTTAACTCTACGCTACTTGTGATGCCTGCAAAATTAGTATATACAATTTTTTGCATTTCAGTAACTTTGTAATTTAAGGTACGAGTTTGAGAAAGTAAGGCGACGACATAGTACAACAAAAACTGGACAATTTATTTTTGTTAAATTTTTACTGAAATTTTTGAAAAAAGTCATGGAGCTAAAGTTGCTTGTTTATGAGACGTTAGTAATATAGTCTGTATTTTATAAATAACCCTGTTATATGAAATCGAAGTTTCAAAACAAGAACATCTAGAACATTCCATCCTTCTGTCGTGGATATACCACCCATTCTCATTTAATAAATTATGGATTAATGACTAATACTAATGATGAATGAATAATAATGGATGAAATACACTACGGCGTTTGTGTTTCCCTGAAAAAAAAAACAATTAAGCTCAATTTATATTGCGGCGGAACGGAATGGAAGCTAATTTTTGTAACGACATAGTACATACATACAGACAGACAGACATAGCATAATGAACTTTATGGTCAATTGTGTAACGTACAAACTCAATACGAGCCAAAATTTTTCGCGGAATAAAGATTGTTATGCTATGTACAATTTCGTTACAAAAATTCACATCCATTCCGTTCCGCTGCAATATAAACTGAGCATGTTTTTTTTCCGGGGAAACACAGACGCCTTTTACAGATTGCTCTTACCAACTGAGCTACGGGTTAAGTTACTGGGTTGTCGAAATTCTCCTATGTGTTTTTGTCACAGATCCTTGTACTGGATTTGAGCCGCTAGTGATGTCTAGTGAGAGATTTTAGATCTTAGAAGATCTTAACAAAAATACATAGGAAATTTCGACAACGCGGTAACTTTATATTTAATTTAAAATATTTGAAGTATGTTTTACGACATTAAAACCTTATTTTAACTGGAATATAGTAAACTGCTGGATATGCCTCTCCAAAAAAAGGAGTATTTGCCGTAATTGTCGTGTTTTGGCCAGCGAAATAAAGTTGCACTCTCACAGTGCGACGCTGTTGCGTTCAAATAGGTCCTTTTTTTCGAAAGTTAGTATTAATAAAAATCTATTATCACTACAGTGTGAAGCACAATCGTTAAGTGCTTCACCACACGAAAAGCGATGTAATATAGACTTTTAAGAGCGATATTTTAGCGTCGTTGTTTTGTCTCCCGTGGAAAACTATTCGACTTACGCCGCGCCCGAATCGCTCCTGGTGTCGATCCGAATCCTGTGTGGCGAAGCCTTAACGGTTTGGCGTAAACTCAATAGGAGAATATGATGGAGCGTATGAGCCCGTCGCGGACAGAGTCTGAGCTCTGGCCGATGCCGAAGTTGAAGAAGACCGACTCTGCAGCTACCTGCTGAGCACATGTGCCCAGAGGGTACCACCCCATCTTGTTGAACACTATGCCCACTTTGTATACCTGAAATTAAACAACTTTTATGGCCGTGAACAAGTGATGAAATTTGAAAATAAAATCAAATGTTTTTTCCACATTTTTTTGGAAAAAATAACATGAATAAGACACAGCACACTCGTTTTTTTGTAAAATAGTTTTTTTTTTAGGTAACATGAATTGTCATTGGCCAACATTTTAAAAAAATAGCCAAATTTATTCATTTTGTATGAAAAATATTTGATTAAATTTGACAAACTTCGGCTGGACTTCTTTTCGTACCATACAATGAAATGATCCTTAAATAAAACTGAGTCGATCAGCATTAAAAAAAAATAGACCAATTTTAGTAATTTTTTATGGACAGCTCACGCTTGACGAAAAAATTGACTATGCCAAAATTGTTGACACAAAAAAAGACTTAATGGTTCCTAAGACAGTTTCCTTGTATCTTCTTTGGTTTCGGATTTCCCTATAATACCAGAGAGAGATTTTTAAAATGTATCATTTAAAAAATCTCTGTTTATAATCAAATCAGGCAATTCTTGTGAAAATGTATATGAATGAAAATTGATTTCGATACTAGTAAATCAAAATAAGAATAAAAAAGGCAATAACGAAATTAGTAATCGTCGTAACCTATCATCATTTCACAATTCAGTCATTTTTGGTAAAATTTTATCATTTTTCACAATCTATCGATAAAACTATCGACAACTACTACATAACTATTAATAGTTGTGAAAACTGGCAACCCCACAAATGTCATTTTACTCCGTCTTAAAAAAAGACTATAGTAGTCTTTCAGCCATTTTGGCGTAAAACCTAGTCTGTGTAAGTTCTCTGTTGTAATAAATTCTCCTCTCAGTGATTTCTGTCGAAATTCACCGATCAAATTTTGAGTAAAATACGCGTGTGTTCATTAACTCGACATTGGCGGAATCATCGATGATATTGATGGAGCTATAACATTACAAAGAAGAAAAAGTAGTTATTTTGGCACCAGCATATTGACAAATTAGGCTAATTCTAACAGCTAGCTACAACTGTGCCATAGTTTTCATGTGATTGGTCTTAGGGTCGTATTCTAGAACTCTACTCAATGCTCAAGTCAGGATTTGAGTATGGTTTAAAGCACTCGAAATCATACTCAAGTCCCTGCCATTAGGGTCGTATTTCCAGTGCTTGTGTTTCATTGCAATCCTGACTTGAGCATTGAGTAAAGTTCTAGAATACGACTCTTAGAGAACCTTACCTTGTTCCGCTGTATGTAGACGGGCCTGTTGAACATGATGTCGAGCAGGTGGCGGTAGGGCACGCGGCTGGTGTAGTGCGTGTAGGTGAGTCTGGCGCCGTCGGCGTCCAGCAGGTGCGCGTACAGAAGCTCGGAGTAGCCGGTGGGGCCGCCCAGCACCGCGCTGTTCAGCCCCTGCACCGCGCTCTCCTCGCTGGGCGCCTGCGTCGGCACCTGCCGCCATGCACCAAGTACTATATTGTTCAATTGTTCAGTTTATTTTCATCACGCTTGCTCGTAAACAGTATGATTGCGTGGTGGCTAACTTGACTTTAATGCCCCAAATAAAACCCACGGGCCTTTTTACTTTCCATTGCAGTCAAAGTCGTCGATAAGAAGTTTTTTTTTAACTTATATATAGCACGACTTACTTCCTTACATCAGAACAGGTGATCAGGTTCAAGTAAGGTTATTTTAAGTTCAAAATTAAAACATTCGCTTAAAATGTTACTAATGCAGCCACATACTAACTAAATACTAATTATTATGAATTTCTTTTACTACATTTTGATTATTTTCTGTACAAAAAAAAAAGCAAAATTTCTTAAGGTCCATCATGGCTGTAATCATTTTTGCTTTTTACAACATTTAGTTCCATTTGTATTATCTATGGAAGAATAGCTAGCTTGCTATCTGTTGATAAAAAAAAAAACAAAAAAGAAGCCCGCCATTTGCAAATTCCATAATAGATGTGTTATGAACCATATTTATTTATACAAGAAATAAACACTGTATTTATTTCCTCGCAAATGTGACGAAAAACATTGTAAGTATCACGGATGGTAAAAAAATACAAAACTCAAGTCATTAAAACCCTCAAGACCTCTGCTTCGAGCTTCTAATAGACCCTCGTTGGTAATTTCTTATTTTCCGTCCTTAATACACAATGTTCTATTATCTCAACATTACAAATTTCACAGAAATATATATATAATACAATTACATATCATTTTATACTACTCTTCGAAAAGTGATCGTCAGTTTACAAAATAATGAGAATAATAATTATATGTATAATAGTAAGTCATAGTTCTCAATATTAATATGACATTGACATTGGCAAGAGGTCTCTTGTCAATTCCTTTGGGACTTTCATTATCTCTCATTTAAATATTTGTAAATATTTTTGTCACATTGCGTTTTATTTTTTGCTTTATGTCATTACTGTTTAATTGATTATTTCATTAGCGTTATGTGTGTACTATAAAATAACCAATACTTAAGGTAGGTAAACATTCAATCATGTTTAAAACGAAACGTACATACAAGAACGTTACCTAATCTATAGTCGAATTGAATCAATTGCGTTGTGTTCTTGCATCTATTCTAAAATACAATGTTTTACATTTTTTTATTCCCGACTTCTAAAAATATACAAAATATATTGATAACTAGGCATAAACTAAAATTATACTAGCAAAGTCTAGGAACGGCTCTACGTCGTTATTGGGGCAGCTTTCGCCATTCTTCTTTGTAATGTCGAGAGAAATGAACTAAACTACGGACTTACAAAAATTGACAATTCAAATGAACCTGTGCCAAGCAATTGGCAGAATAATGGACCTATGATGATTCAAATTAATCAAGTTCTGCTATTTATAACAGTCGATAGAATATTAATCGACTGCAATCACTAGCTACTTGCAAGCGGGCAACACTTTTGCGTGTCATTTTACTCCATCTTAAAAAAAAAATTCAAATCCGAATATAGAAAAAGGTATAGTTACCTGGACTCCGAGTAGACATATGTTCTTATCCACCATAAAAGTGACAGAGCAATCCAGCACACTGGTGTTGAGGCAGTCAGTTTGCTGCAAGATGGCTCGTTGGCAGTAGATCTTGTTGAACTCTCCCATGATGCCCCCTAAGCGCTCCATGGGCTCAATCGCCGCAAGCCCAAGACCAGTTAAGGGGGCACTTACATTCATGCCTGACACTGGAACGTGAACTGCTGAATGCAGTCTCATGCCTGATGGTATACAAGAGCATATATCAGACCTAATATCTTCAATTAGAATAGCGCTGTATGACCTTTTTTACTGTATACTTTGTATGCTGAAAGACGGAAACACCAAGAAAGGCAGTGTGAGTTCGTCTTTTGTTTAGCTGTCAATAACCAATTACCAATGGTATTTTGAAGATTATAGCAGAAAGAATGGACTACGCAATTTTCCGTAAGTTCTCAATGTTACGCATTGACATAATAGTTGAAAAAAAAAAATAGAGTAATCAAATTTCATTTATTTTAATTGTTCTCTGTTTTTTTTATGACACCAAGTGTCAGGATGAATAAGTCGTGCGCTAGGTGTTAAGCGACACCCCTGTCCACAGCAGATGCAGTGCCACACACAATTTTAAATCGCTAAGATCTGAAGGGCACTGCCACTGCGCCCGTCACCACGAGACGTACAAATACAAAATTCCTTTATTGCCAGAATGACACGTTTTGGACAAAAATAACATGTTAAGCCAAAACATATACAAACAATAAACGTTACGCCAAACATGTCAGAGGGCAAAAGGTGTCCCAGCTTGTGCTGCCTGGAACCGTTGTTCCTCCTTGTCCCTAAGATCTTAGGCGGGCTTAAAAGCAACGAGGGCCTAAAAACATAAATTGATAAGTCCCATGTGCCTGTAATTCTACTAGCACCCTACCCGTCAAAATCGGAACACAGTGACGCTCACAATACTGCTTGGCGGCAGAAAATAGGTAAGATGGCAGTACTTCCCTGAATGAACGCTTTCACAAAGAGCTTTATTGCTACTAAAAACTTTCATCTACTAACTTAACGCATAAGATTACCGTTTCTAACAAATATGGACTACCTAATTAGTTTGGTAATAAATACATTCCAATAAAGGGTTCCTCGAAAAGAAACTCCAGGCTTTCTTTCCAAGCAAGTTGGTAAAGGTTTTTAAGGTTACACTCGTTTTCTGCGTACTTTTAAGGTCACTCCCAATCTGATCGAGGTACGACCACATTGTAAGTGACAAAAGCGCGTACCGTCGAAGCGAGAGGGGCGCGGATAGGAGAGCGGGCAGGCGTGGTGTGGGTGCGAGATGGCCGGCAGCGCCAGCGCAGGATTATGCGGGTTGGCGGGCCGCTCCAGTCGTTCCAGCCGGTCCATCCGCTCCATCGGGCACGCTGTCTCTCCGCCCACAGGACTCGGCGTATCAACCGTAAACGTCGGCATCTGTTGCACAATCAACACCTATAGGCTTTTTCTTCCCCCGCTACTACACTCATCGAAAGCACGTTTTTGCTAATTATAATAATAATAACGCATACACACCACATAGCCCCGCACTAGGGATACCCTGGTTCGCGGGTGCCATGGACACACGCATAAACAACCACAAATTACAACAAAACTCACGAAAGAAATAAATGTAGGTCATACAAATATTTCTCCCGGCCCGGGAATCGAACTCTGCGTGGCAGTCCGCCATGGTAACCGTTCGGGCACGGAGGCAGTTATTATAGAAAATCAGGTTATTTTTATGAATTATTTTTATCACCAATGAATGTTTTAAGTCAATTTCATTTTCAAATTCGAGTTCAGAAATTTATCTGAAAAAAAATTATAAAAAACACCTGATTTTCAGTAATTAAAAAAAAAGTAAATACATGCTTGATCTCTACACGCTGTTAATGTGTGTATTTTACTACAATCTCGGTCACATAATTCGGGTCACCTTGCATTTTTATTTATAAATTACTAAATAGAAAGTATTCCCTGGTTTTACAAATTCAAAGTTTTCAACAAGGACATACCGAGTTGACCTTTAGTATACCAACAAATTGCATTAATAGTATTAGATCTATCAAATAGTCGACTCAGATTGCAGGAATTTGTTCTGAGTGTTCGATTTTTTTATTAGCAATTATTACAAACTAATGGAGTAATTTCACAAAAATAAATGAATATCACAATTTTAAAACATCATAATATTCATTTCATTACAGTCTATATTACAATGTATAAAGCGACATTTCTATTGAACCTCTGGTAGCTATAAAGGTACCTGGTTGAGTGAAGAAAAAACTTTCATAGATTTCCCACGGGTGGCGCTATGGCGAAGAAAGCCGATACAATCAAACATTTTTATAAACTTGGGGCATTTAATACTGAAAATGCAAGATAATTCTAATTAGGTGTCGTAGAGTATATATTTAAGTACTGGCACCCAAAATTTAAACATTCGAAAATGTGGTTTAAGATAATAATAATAATAACGCGACACACTTCTAGCCTCGCACTAGGGAAACCCTGTGTCGCGTGTGCCATGGACACACACGTAGACAACCACAAATGACACCCAAACTCGCGAGAGAAATAAATGTAGGCCATACACATACTTCTCCCGGCCTCGGAATCGAACCCAGGACCTCTGCGTGGCAGTTCAGCCACAGAGGCAGTTTAAGCAACCAAGTTGGAGTATGTAAAATATTTGGCAAACTCTTGTCCGTTTCGTGCACGATCTCTAACGAAAGGCAGTCGCGAGGAGAGGGAGCATTTTCCGATGATAAGAATATTCTTGGGCTTGCACGCCTAAAGCGAATATCGACAAAGTAGAAATAATATCCCGCCGTACGTCTGGACAGCCAATGGTAAATAGAGAAGGGCGGGATGAGCTGACGGAGCTCTAGCGATACTCACCGTACATATATATATACAACAATATATATGTACAATATTTTTTAATTTTTTTTTATAAGTCTAGCCTGCCTCACTGCTGGGCAAAAACTGCTGCGCCAGTCCATTAAAAATGAGTCTAAGATATCCAGCCATCGCCGACGTGATCTACCGCTTCTCTTTTGAATTGTGGGGACTTCAACTCCGTGGTTATTTTAATTCAAATCGACAGACAGGCAACTTTGGGCGGTGTGCTAAACTATACTATATTTAGTGCAAAGCAATTTATTTCCTACGTACATTGGATGATCCCTGGGCTCCGCCGCCGATGAGCTGCTTCCTTGGCACTCGGTTTGTCGAGAATCCATTAGGCATAGGCACAGCGGAGTTGCTGGACAGTATGTTCATAAGGACGGCGAAAGCCTCGGTCTCTGAGAGTAAGGAAGACCGCGCAGGGCCTTCGGCGAACTGCTGCGCCGTTAGGGTCAAAAACCGTATATTCTCGATTATACTGCGAATCTTTGATTTTTCTTTTACATCTGTAATTATAACATTATTTTGTTGTGAGAAAAAATGGAACAATTGACGAACTCGCTGCCCTCCTTCTTATTTCGAGATATTAGCGGGCTTTAAAGAGACACTCTATCGCGTGTGATACAGCGATCGTACGGGATTGAGCGCGCGTGTAAAGATGGAAGGAAAAGGGGAAAGACCTCGCGCGCGACTGATGAGCGCTCCTACACGCGCCAGTGAGGCTAGCATGAAAGGCCGAGACTTTCGCGAGAGCGACATAAAGCGCGAGATACTGCTGTTCTCGCATAGAGTTCCCGTGCTTTATCGCACAAGTCGCACCCTGTCGTGCTAGCCCTATAGTTTCATGTGGTCTATCCTACGCTTTCCGTTCTTTCCGCTCTTTCCGTTGTAACAAAAACGAAGACGAGCAATCGCGCGCAAAGTACGTCACCTTAAAAAATTTTAAACAATAATCGCGCACGATTGCGCAATCAAACAAGCGCTAACAAGCACCTGAAGCCAGTGGCGCATAATGTGGGAATCGGACCTCCTAGACACGGTCGTTATGAATTGACTTACAATTTTTATCGAAATTTTTTTTTGCTTAGTTTGTCTCGAATTATAAATTCTTATCGCCAATACTGTAATTAACGTTCATTGGTTTTACCTTATTTGTCGTTCAGGGAACAATGAGTTTTTACTTGTACTTTCTTTTCACCACCTAACACTATTTTTAATAATCTCACTACAGAGTACTAAAAAAACCGACCTCACAAATAAGTGGAATTACGTCTATTTGCTAAGTTTTATTGAAATATCCCCTAGTTCGCCACTATACAGGACTTGACCCTGGAGATAATAAAAATCGGTTCTCACTACTCAAAGTATATTAAGTGAAAAACGCCTTGAATTGGAGAAATAACAAAATCAACCATTAAAATAATTGCTCCTAAATTAAAGTTAGGCGCTATTTATAAGAATGAATCTTCATGCGTGAACAGCCACCCTTCGAGGTGGATACTTTTCTTCAAAATGAAGTGGGACCACTATGGAAGTACCCCCTTTCCAACACAAATACCGGAGTTATCGCTTAACATACATACAAAAAAAAGAACATACAGACGAATTGAGAACCTCCTCCTTTTTTGAAGTAGGTTAAAAACAAGAACATCAATGAATAACGAAAAATTGATTTTGGAAGAAAAAAAAATATTCTCGCCATAAAAAGATATTTTATTAGCAAAAGTGCGCTTTTGACGATGCAATTCAAGATTGCATGTTATAGGTACCATTAATTTTTCCAGATGTAATTTTTCCTTTTACTTTTCCAGAGAGTACGACAACAGGAAAATAAATATTTATACTTTTACACTTTCGCGTTGCATTGTACTAACATTTGGAAACGGGCTGACTGAAAGGTTGCACTGGCCGTAGTCACCAGTCCAATCTGGCCGAAACTAGGTAGGTGTGAAAAATACCTATTCGCATGTAAACGCGTTTATTCCCGTTTCCAAATGTAAATAAATATTTGCCAATAAAACTGCTACCAGACTACTGTTGGGTAATTTTCCAAAAAAAATTGAAATAGTGGTTATTTTCCGGAAAAAATCTGGAAAAATTTGAATAACATAATAGCGAACGCTCATATCACGGTCTACGTGTAAAAATATATTTTGAAGTTTTATTAAGCGTGAATTATAAAATAAACTTTTATAACTAAAAACCACTTAGAGAAAAACGGGATTTAAAATGATTTCACAATAGCGAAAAGCCTTTTTAATGGCTCCATCGTTTCCGTTCAGCAACTTCAACTTTTGACAGGTGTGAACGTCTAACGTGGAAAATTAAAGGAAATTTCGACCTCTCCGACGTAAAGTATCGTATGTCGAAATTGCCAAGTTTACAGGGAAGCGTTTTAAAGTTCTGAATTCACTGAAACGAACATAACACGTGACTTTAGCATTTCTCAGTTTTATTCGGCGAAGCTCATTACTCACATAGAGTATTATAAAATCCTAGATATCGGTTAGATGATCTATGGTGATCACTCTTTTAGTGAATTCAGAACTTTAAAACGCTCCCCTGTAAACTTGGCAATTTCGACATACGATACTTTACGTAGGAGGGGTCGATTTATTTATTTTTCTGAAAATTATCATTTTTGCAAAATGGACGTTTTTCCATGACCCAATACATGCGCAAAGTCGTTTATACAACTGCATGCAGTCCACATTGACTGCAAGATGTTCTCGGCGCACCGCGCGCCTAGCCCAGGAGCTCAGCGTATTCGTTGATGTCAAAAAAGAAGCACCGATATTACTAGAAGCTTGTCACTGTATTCGGAAGATTCATGATTTCAATATCACTATCGAAATCCTCCATCAACAAACTCGTGTTCGTAATCTCCGACTACACTATGCGGTGAAATAAGCGATCATAAATGTAAACAAGGACGCCATTACAAAAAAAGAATTCAAAATGTATAATAAATAATTGTACAAAATGTGAAATAAATCGTGTTTTTGTTTTACAAATTATGCTGATTAAACCCTCAAGTAATCGTTACTACTGAAAAAAAATCAAGTTGTTTCAGACACAAAAAATCATATCATCATCCTTTTAAAAATGTCAATTCCTGCTTTTGATTCTCAGGCTTTCGTTTACATCGACAGTAGCGCGAAGTTTGCACACGGTAAAAACAGATTACTCAAAAAAAGACAAAATTCTTTTTATGAAGACAAATTTATTAAATCCAACAAAACGATTCTCTCCCTATAGACGCTAGAGAATAATTACTTGATAATAGTAAAAAAACGTCTCAAAAGTGTATTTTCGTTACAAGACAGAAATATTTAATCCAAGAGCAAATTAATTTACTTCAAGTCACAAAGCCACTCTAGATTCAACAAAATATTTATTTGTTATTAGAAATGTCCGATTTTGATTTGAAAAAAAAAAGAATGAAAAATTGAGAGGTACTTAATTATTTATATTAATTACTGAAGATTTATGTTTTCTAATATCAAAAAAGATAAATTTACAGGGTTATGGACCCAACAGTGCCAAACCTTAAAGTAGCAGAAATAGGATGGAAATATGGAATCTTCTCAAATACTTGAGGACCATCCAGTGCCGTATAAATGTTACAGCGGCAGAAAGCACTAACAGTTCCAAATATATGAGATGACTTTATACTATTGAAGTTAACAAAACGATAGCGCGTTTCAGAGTACATCTAATGCCATCTAGCAGTGGCGTGATGGAACTAATTGCATGTTATGCTTGTTACAAATGTAGTTTGATTTCATGCTGTAACCAAATTTCTTAAATTATGACTATAAAGAACACCTTAACAAACTAGAGATACTACGTATTGTTTCTTTGGATAAATGACTGTTTATGATTTTTATGATTACAAGCACAAGTAAAAGTAATCGTTACCGCGTGCGCCTTCGGCGACATGTCACGACAAGATTGACTATGAAAACGCAACGAAATGTTGCTTTAAGAATATACTCTAGAATTTAGAATATTAATCTGAATAGAAAACTACTTCTTTTTTTGTTTAAGAATATATTTTCTTAAAATACACCCAAGAAATTTTGAATTCATTTAAGATTATTTAAATTTGATGTAAGAGGTAAAAATTTCTTGATATAAGTAATGTCCAATTAATTGATTAGAAATGAAATAAAATCTTGAAGTGAACGTATTTGTCTCAAAGTTAAAATAAAGTTAAGAGTAAAATTGTATTAGAAAAAGATAAGCAGTATTTTTGTAGTGACAATATTTTATTACTTTTAATAAATATTTTTTCAGAATTAGCAAATATTTTGAGAAATTGCTCTTTCTTATTAGTAGAAATCCTTTTTTTCTGTGAGAAGTCTTGACTGCACGCAGATGAGTCACGATTGCACGCATTATGTACAAACATGCAGTACATCTGTTAGCGTCATAATATTATTTATACCAGCTGAGGTAGTAGTATCTTTCTCAGAGAGCTACCGATAGTACGCCGGTTAATAAACATAACAACCACAACGACGTGTGTACAAGAGCGTAATTTTATAGTGATACAGTATTCGAATCTACACCACATACAAGGAAATTTCAGTAAAAATTACGACAACGGGACGGAGTATTTTGATGAATCACGAGATGTATTTTACGTTGATTCACACACTGTAAACCCAAGTTTGACTATCGGTAAAACCAAAATAGGGAGTCGGTCCTTATGCCGAGTTCACGAGTCTTCGACTACTTTCACTTGCGTTTTATGCTTGCGTGACACGCTTCGCGGATACGCAAGCAGGACTGTTCACGAGTCGCTCGCTTGCGCCGGCCGCTTGCTTTACCTTGGATTTCTTTGCGTTGCGCGAGTTTGATATCTAGCAACATTGACTTACAATTATATGGACGTCGGGTCCGCGCTAACAAGTGTCCGAACTTATAGGGCGTTAAAATCGTATACAGAGCGTCATTCACGCTTTAGTCTTCGTTTGTTCGACTGACAGCGAAGCAAGCAAAATCAGACAGTACTGCGATGACATTACAATTTAAATTCAACGTTTTAGCTTTTTCATATTCCTTTACATGTCACTACGTTTAAATAGGTTGACTTGGGACATTTTTTTCGTGGTTTTTGTATTAGACCCGTCGTCCATATATTTGTAAGTCAATGTCTAGCAAGCCTGATATTTCCACGCAAGCAACAAAAGGAACGTTTGTGGAGGACAGCACCACTGACCAATCACAGAGCAGCTGCTGCCGGTTCGAGTGTGTCGATCCGCGTCGAAAAACAGTAGCAGGCAAGGCGCCAAGTCTCTCCGCAGACTCGTGAACGCTTTTGCGCTAAAGGCAGATTTGTACGTCGTGTCCAGTCAAAGCAAGCAAGCGAAAAATGTATGTGACAGACTCGTGAACCCGGTATTAAACACACGCGAGCCTCAATGCCTTTGAAGATGCTATTTCCATTGCTGTTTTTAAAATCATCATTGTTTCCTTTTGTTGATAAAAATGTTGCTATTATTTGCGATATTTTGTAGTAAGGAATATTTTCCATTACGACAAAATATTCTTTATGACATTTCAAATTTCCACTGTCGATATGTTTAGAACTTGATAATGTAGCAACACAGTTAATCAATCACTTAAAAAAAAAAAGTAGGTAAATAATTTAAACGTTTATTACACTACCCGATTTCAAGAGCAATAAAAGTTAGGGAATTAGAGTCCCTACTTTGGGCGACTTAGGCTCAATTTATATTGCGGCGGAACGGAATGGAAGAAGCCAAAATCTTCCGCGAAATTCTTGCGCATGCTCGGGAATGCTCGCGAATTCCGCGGAAGATTTTAGCTCGTATCTAGTTCGCACGTTACACAATTGACCATAAAGTTCATTACACCATGTACAATTTCGTTACAAAAATTCGCTACCATTCCTTTCCACCGCAATATAAATGGAGCCTTATACATAAATTAATTAAAAAGAATGGCGCCCTAACTCCCCTAGTTAGGGCGCCACGTCCACCCTTGATGCAGGTCACTTAAAATGAGTAATTGAGTGAGTCATAAGCATTTTACCTTTATTTAGTTACAGGTTAAAAACTAATTATGTTACTAAGGTATTCAGGCACGTATGGCTCCTTGTTAAACAAGATTTGAGAATGCCAAATTCACAACACTTATATAGAAATGTGAAAAATTGCGAGGGTCAAGATTTTGTGGAAAGCAAGCAGCATTTGTTCCTTTTTAAAATTACTTATAAAGAAAGTATTCAAGCTTCAAAAAAAAGGAGGTTCTCAATGCGTCTTTTCTTTTTTTTTGTATGTATGTTACGCGATAACCACGCCATTTGTGAGCCAATTTTGATGATTCTTTTTTTGTTGGAAAGAAAGTACCTCAGATGTGGTCCCATTTAAATTTCAAGAAAATATTCCACCTCTAAGGGTGGCAAACTAGGGGATGAATGACTTTTGAGGTCGGTTTTTTTAACCGGAGGTTAGGTTAGGTTGGATTATATACAATAAGTTCGCATCATACAGGTACGACTGAATATTGTCACATCTGTTATATATTTTGGTATGAAGTTTCAAAGAATTTAATTGGAGTTAGCACCCAATTATATTTTCATTCTATTGATGAAGCAAACATACCCAGTTGCTTGCTGCTCAAAATTGGTGGAACAAAATTTTAATATCCTGTTGTACTGAACACAACCGGTATCACCATATTTACGAACCTCCCTTGTCCGGTGTCTGTTGGTTCTCAGCTGTAGTAACAGGCGCGTCACCTGCCGGGCCCACATCCGCTGCGCTCGCGCACCCTTCTGCGCCAACCGGGCTATTCTCGGCACTGCTTTCTATGTTTACCACCTGTAAGGAAGTCCTCATATTTATTAACATGGAATCAGCATGAGCTGGGGGTCGATTCAGAACCTTACGATAGTTGTCGACAGATCCGATTTGATATCATACGATTTCTTTTCATTTTTATTCACACCGCCCGAATCGTACGTCAAAGTGTCGTATTCGAAACCAAACCGAAATGACATCACTCCCGTACGATTACTGAAACTTCTCGACCGGCAAAGGCTACAAACGTTATTCACAACACAGTTATCGAATGTAAGTTACCAAATATCCTATTGTTTAAAAAGCAAGAATTAATATGGAAATCTCTTATTATTTTAAACAAAGTCTGGATTTTGTTAAATTTTATTAATTTTAATGCAAGACCAATACATTCCTATATTTTAGACCTTTAAAATCTTAAAAATGTATACATATAACACGATTTTAATTTTTCTCATATCCGAATCTGAAACAAGCGTTTAACTGAACAGCTTGGAAAGCGTTCTTCGATTCGAGAATGATATCCAATCGAAAAATCGGTTAAAATATCGAAGAGTTCTGAATCGGGGTCCAGGTCAGAAGAAGTTTATTAGATTAGACGTCGTTTTCGCTGTTATTACGTGGAAATAATGTTTTCACTTACTGGCTTAATGCGATTTTGTGGTAATAAATTGGTGATTACCTAATTAATATTTTGTGGTAAGGAATACTAAACTTAAGGTGCTATTGAATCCAGAGTGTAGGGGTTCAATGGACCCTAGCACACGCAAAATAGGCGCCTGGACGTCGAGTTTCCTTAGGCTCAACTCACACTGGTGCAGAGTCGAAGCGTCGCGTCGCGTCCTATGCTTAACTACAACGCTTGGCGACGCGTGTCGTCGCGCGACTACTCTCGCATTAGTGCGCCCGGATAACAGTGTGGTCGGCGTCTGACGCCTCAATGCGCTCAAGAGACGCGCGGCGACACCCAAATTTGCATAACGCAAATTTGTACATTAATAATGGAAAAATAGACATGCATATACTATAGTATTTTTTATATAGGCGAATACAAAAAAAAACATACAGTCGAATTGAGAACTCCTCCTTTTTCGAAGTCGGTTAAAAAACAAGAAGCGTCGCGACGCTTCGACTCTGCTCCAGTGTGAAAATTTAAGTTTCTGGTTTCTAGGCATTGTAGCAGTGTGCAATAGCTCATTAACCAAAAATTCGCCACATAATTATATCGAGAAAAAAGCAAGTTTATAATAAAAAAAAAGCAGTAATATTGATTAAATTGTTTTTTGTCACATCTTCGCAAATGGCAACACATACAATAAGCAAATAACTATATATAAATTTGTGAACACATCTATACAAACAAGTGATGTGCAATGTTGCAAAAAACTATATCAATAATGTTCATCGTAATTGGTGTTTTTATCAACAACCATCAAGCTGTCGATGCAGCAGCAGCTAGGGTAGACTAAAATAAACTAACTAATAGTAAAATGCAAAAATCCCATTTTATTACAATCCTTCAGTTTGGAGAATTCCCCATGAATTGGCAACTCTGCCCAGCATGCGTATCGAGGTGAGGCGTAGCTGTGGTCACCATGCAACCGGTTCAGCTGTTATTGCTTGCCAAAGGCGACTGTGTTGTCCATACGTTTACATGTAGTCGCTTCGGTCTACTTCGACTGTGCACTACAGTCATCAGATAACTCAGTATTTACACCAGGTTAGCTTGTCGCCTGTCGACCTGGTGTAAATATGCCATAACAATATTGAATGATTAAATTTGGTTGATGCAATATGTTGGGTCTGTTAGTAAGTACATATCTACTAATGCATATTTTAATTGTGGGTGACAGGATCTAACCTTATCTTTTGAAGTAGAAGGGCCAGGACTAGGCCGTTGGTCCACTACGGGGCTCACACTCCTCTCCAAGTTCCTCTTATCATGCCCCTTGGCATATCGAACCGCAGCCTCAAATAGATCTAACTCACTGTCAACGTTCAAATGGTCTAAGGAAAACACAGTGATCACCGTGTTCAGTTCAACTTCTAGGAAGCTGCTGTCATTTAAAACTTCTTTGGTGTTTGTACTGATTATCTAGAAATTGTGGATTAAATATAGTATATTAGTCAGTGTACAACTTATTAGAATGAACTATATGATAGCTGGCCAAAAGACCGAATTTGTGGTAAGGAAAAATAACTCTAAATAAAGAAGATTTTGAAGAGAAAATAGCATTAATACTGCATTCTTAAAATATACCTGTAAACATTTTTCCATGAGAACATTCTCTTCAAATAACCTGGCAAACTCATATGCTCTACATGCATTTCGCGGGTAGAGATCTGACCACAGGTATCGAGTACATTCCTTCACTAAATGCGGTAACATGTATTTTTTTGCACCATAGCAGAGCTCACATGCTTTGTCAAATGAACATATGTTTATGTTATCTGTGTAGATGTATCTGAAAAAATGGTACATTTGCAAATGCAATTTCTTATACTGCTTATTGTTAACATAGAGATTGTATTTGCCATGAGCCTCAATATACTCGTATACTCACTCTAGAAGAGCTTTAAATGCTTCAGGTTGTACATCTAAGATGGGTATAGGGTCATTTCTCTCCGCCATTCCGCCGTAGAACATCGCTTCGAAAACTGGAGACGCCATGGCTAAAATCAGTTTGTGGCCACTGACCACGACTTGGTGCGGCTCCGTGCCCACTAAAAACGTGCAATCTGACCATTGTCCAGATTGCAAAAGATGAGCTCCCCTCTGTTTCATCTCCATACACCCAAGCTGCCAATCGCTAGGAGCCGAACCCATTTTGAATAAGATTTTGCACCAACCACTATTTAAAATATACAATGCTTATTACACAATCTCACGGAATCACTATAATAGTTATCAAGCACAACGCGTTAAAATAGCGAAAATGAGTCAAAATATAAAAATAAATAACACTTCACCCATTCGCATAGTCCAAATATTTGGGAACATTCACGTTTAAAACCAAACCTTTTATCTTCTCAGACGTTTAAAGCTTTCTAATTAATTTAAGCAAGAAGGTTAAATTAGACCTTCCGCCATTGAGTTCCATACTGAATATCGATTTTGTAAAATCATAAATTTGTTTGAAAAGGTAGTAACTTTTTTTTAAACTAAATGGCACTAGAATACTGCCAACGTCAAAATAAAAGTAAAAGATTAGGTAACGGACGGTAGGAAATCCGAAAAGGAAAGCAAACATGATCAGGGAAAATGCAGGGAAAGCTAAGTTTAGAAGGAATTAATATATTTTTGGCAATATTATAACTTAAAATATATACATAAATTACACGAAATAAATACAAGGAATTATGATTTATAATTATCATTAATAATAATAAACGAATGTAATAAATTCTATTTTATTGGAGAGTAGGATACAATTTATATTGCAATGTAAATTAAGTCACTTTTTTATATCCTGTAATCCATTGTCATTCGGAGATTTATTAAAAATTTTGGCAACGTGAGACGGTTTTGAGACATTACTTTTAATTAGGGAGTTGAAAAATTTAACAAGTATAAAATTAGGTCAAGTACTTGGGATTGATTAGATTCTACATCCTCGGTTCTAGGTTTCAGGGCACAACCGGTGCAACCGGAAGGTGCAGGGATTCGAACTTCTCTAATTAGAACATGGTGAGCAGCACCACAAATTAGAAAGTTAATCTAGCAGCATGGTCGTAGCCTTAAGATATTTTAGCAGAATGTGGTTTTAAAAATACAGTTTTTTTGGATGATACAGGACTAATATTGCTGGTAGCGGTTGTTGTTCTATTAGATTGTGTTGCTCTAGAGGGGCCGTACTTAAAACACCTGCATTTGATTTGGAGACAGGAGGGCGAAGTTTACAGCCTTCCATGTAAGTGATACATCTGCATGCCATGGTGTGTTTAATTTATTTTTGGCGATTAAATTCGGGACATGCTTTGTTTGTGGCAAAATGAAACCCAGAACATATGATACATAAAGCTGCATTTCCATCAACAGTACATGAATGTCCTGTATGACCTTAGCAACATTTATAGCATCTAGAAGTTGACCGGCACAATGCATTAGTATGGCCATAGCGGCAGCATTTGTAGCACTGAATTGTAGGAAAAGTGTATATATCCACAGGTACAGAATAGTAACATTATGAATATTTTCTTAGGAAGGACTTGGCCATTAACCTTCCTGTAATGTGATCGTACCCTTGCGCCGAACATAAGCAGTCGCGTGCGGTCTATGAGACCTCAACTTTACACGTTCAGTTTGAGAAGGCATATTAATATTTTCATGACGTTGTGTAGCACATTATATACAAAAGTCTTTTATCTATATAAATGAAAATAAAAAAACATTATTTACTTATTTTTTTAAATTTGTACTTATCAGTTGAACAGTCTACAAAAATTCAAAATTTTAGTCGTATGACACAAACAACGTTAAAAATCAACAAAATAACAAAACAAGATGAAATGTTCTATCTTAATCGTTCATAAGCACATCATAATAGATTATTATCGAGATCAATCAATATTGTCATCAATTGCACAATATTGTAGGAACTCTAAAATCACAATTACTTTTGAATGCTTTATTCATGATGTTCTACGTACTATCTCAATTTTTATAAAATAAAAAAGGAACATAGGAAATGAAACTATTTTTCCGGAATTAAATCGCGTTTTTCAAACAAACGTTTGTAACAATCGTGAAAACCTAAGAACTCGATATAAAAAAGGAAAACAAAATAAAAAACTTCCGACTTTTTTTAGAACCAGGTAGTACGATAACCTACTCTTTATCAGTAGCAATGGTTTGACGTCATCAAAATCTTCATCTTCTGTTTCCGCCTCCTCTGCAAGCAGTTGTGATTCTTCGTAACTCATATTGTGTCTACAACAAATAGTGATATAATAAATAATTTAATATAATAATGTATTTAATTATTAAATTTAATAAAATAATGTATTTTTGTAAGTAATATAGTACATATAACATGAAATACTCACCCAGGTTTCAATTTCATTCCATGAATTTTTCTGGAACACGACCGGTCGCGCGCGGAATCTCAGACCGCAAACATAAATAAAGACACATGTGCGCATGCGACTTGCGACGAATATCACAGGCCTACTAATGGGAAGTACCTCACCCTCTCGAGGATATCTCGGTCGCGCAACCGTTTAGTGTTTATAGATTTTGTAAAATGACTAAAATAAGGTCGCTGAGGTCTCTGAGACCGCGCGCGACCGCTGGAAGGTTAAAGGTAGTACTACAGATTGGGAAGGCTTCCAAGTTGGAGATCCACCAACTTCCTACTTAATAATTTAGTCGTCTGACTTTTATAACTTGTCCACAACCTTCTGGAACACACACATTTTCTTGAATTTCATCTACGGTCCAATCATTGGAATACCACGAATAAGACCCATCCTGGGAATACTGAAAGTGGGAATGAACGCTTTAAAATTAGGCTCTGGCAAATTTTTATTAGTAATAAAGTCATTGGCAGCATTGTTGTGAGTAGAGAAAGCCACGGCACATCGATTTCTGCCTATACGCTTAACACTGCCGACAACATCGTTTTAGATGTTATGTTTCTTTAGAAACCTTCCAAAAGTGATAGGATGCAAAGATGCTATTTGGAGAAAATTCTAATCTCTGTACACGAACAACATAAATATGGTTGAACATCTGTAGGCAGGTACTCCTTCCGACCAAAAGATTATTGTGAAGTTTCTGTAGAAACTGTTGGTTGAGCATTTGAAACAGGAGGTTGAACAGTTATTGGTTTAACAAAGGTTTGTGGAGAAGAAGTGACACTGAATTTGTGGGTGTGGGGTGCCTCATTCAGATCAGATGATTTATGGCAAAGACAACATGAATCTTTATTATCAATTGAATCGGCCTTCTTCTTCCTACTTTTATCAGAATGTCTGCAAATTTTAGGTTGATGAGACATCGTTTACGTGACCCTTTTACCCATTGATGTGGTAACACTAGACGTATGCCTTGTCCATACCACTCTGATCATCATTTGTAACAATATCATTCGTAACAGTGTTGTTCAAATCACTATGCGGGATAGTGACATAGCTAACTATCAAGAGGGGGATTCAGGCCTGAAACCTTAAACACCCCGCGTCGAAGTCGAAGGGTCGTTCATACAACGACTATCAAGTGCAAAAATATAGGTACAAGTTTACCAGAATTACAGTAAGAAATAAAAAAATACAGTTATATATACTAACTACAACAAGCATTTACAAACTATAGCTTCAACTGATCATTAATTTATTTTATTACAGTAGAAAACAAAAATAACTCGGACGAAATTTCACGCGCTTTTTCAAGGCAATCCTTATTGAGAAACAAACAGATCATTTTTAGTAACTGTAGCTTCTAGCTAGTCTCGTAAATGCAACAAACACTAAACATATGTTAGGGATTTCTAAACGAATATCAAATGGTCAAACGTCAACAAAAAACAACGATCCATATTTTGCGGAAATATGTCAAACTATTTAATCTACATTTTGTTAGGTTTCCGTACAAAATGAATCACGAGGAAATAAAGTGCGTGGTGCAGGAAAAATTTCTGTCCAGTGAGAGAGTGACGGCGTTTCTGTGTGACGCCAAAGTGCTGCACCCAGAATGGGTGAAGAAGGACAGACTCCTTGCTATCGTCGAGTGCGGAGATGAAAAATGTGTTTTCTGTCTTCACACCTCTTGTTACCCGCCTAAATCCTTTACCGACTTATCTATTGAAATAGTGTTGCCTATTGACGTCACATTCAAATGCGAGATAGACAACAAACCATCAGATCCGGAGGCCGTCCTTTACTTAAATCTACAGTCTCGTAATCATAAGTACAAATTCGAAATTCAAATGACTCCACGGGTGGACAACTTTGTGGATGACTTGTTTCGAGGGATAGAAGCAGTGAACAAGGTTGCTACAGAACCAAAATTCTTGTGGTTAAAAAAATACACTGGGAAAAAGGAAGATGATGTCATTGCCCAAACAATGGCCCTACCCAGGATTGCTATGTCGAATACGCATGGCTCTGCACCTGTGGCCATCAGAGAAAGCCTCATTAAACGCAAGATGGCAGATAAGGAACAAGATTACACATTCACCAAGAAGTTCACAGTATTTTGTGGTACATGGAATGTGAATGATAAATCTCCAGTGATTCCCCTGAAGGGTTGGTTGCATGTTGACAAGGAACCTCCTGACATATACGCTATAGGTTTCCAAGAGCTGGATTTGTCTAAAGAGACATTTCTCTTTGACCAAACGCCAAGGGAAAAAGAATGGTATGATGCTGTAGTCAGCAACTTGGATCCAAGAGCTAAATATGTACGAGTCGAGCGAGTGAGGTTGGTTGGTATGATGCTTATAGTTCTTATCAAAGAGAAACATAAGTCCCATGTAAAAAATGTTGTATGTTCTACAGTGGGCACTGGCATAATGGGGAAGATGGGTAACAAAGGAGGCGTGAGCATAAGGTTTGATCTCCACAGCACATCTTTATGTTTTGTAAACTCCCATTTTGCTGCCCACGTGGAGGAGTATGAACGGAGGAATCAAGACTTTAGGAACATTTGTTACAGGACTGAGTTTGAATTGCAACCAAACCAGCCTCCAAAGCTAATCAAAGATCACGATCAGATATACTGGCTTGGAGATCTCAACTACAGAATAACAGAAATGGATCCAAACAGAGTAAAAAGACTGCTTAATGAGAATCATTTTGCACCTGTCCTGGAAATGGATCAGCTAAAACAGCAGCACAAGAACAACCACGTGTTTGCTGGGTACACTGAGGGCTACATCACTTTCAAGCCCACATATAAATATGACCCCGGAACAGACAATTGGGATTCTAGCGAGAAGAACCGTGCACCAGCTTGGTGTGACCGAATATTTTGGAAAGGTGAGAATATAACACAATTAGTGTACAGAAGTCATCCATCACTAAACATCAGTGACCATAAACCAGTTTCTGCATTATTCAATACTGCAATAAAAATTATAAATGAAGATAAATACAGGAAAGTGTACGAAGAAGTAATTAAACAGTTGGATAAACTCGAAAATGAACTGATACCACAAGTTAAAGTTGATGTAACAGAACTAGATTTTGGTACAGTACGATACTTAGAGCTACAAGTGCGTACTATTTCAATTAAAAATGTTGGGAAATTACCGGTGGAGTTTGAATTCATCAAGAAATTAGATGAAACAAGTTTCTGTAAAGAGTGGTTAATTGTTGAACCATACAAGAAATGTATCAGTGCTGATGAATCATGTGAAATACAGTTAAAAGTGCTAATTAACAAAACATCAGCTTGTAAAATGAATGCAGGAATAGACAAACTGTATGACATTTTAGTGTTACACCTGTATGGTGGTAAAGATATTTTTATAACAGTAAATGGTACATACCAAAGAAGCTGTTTTGGTTGTTCTATTGAAGTCCTGGTGAACTTGAATTTGCCAATTTGCAAGGTGCCAGCTGGGAAGCTAATCGAGCTTGAGGGCAAGAGGGATCAATGTGTTGCAAATCATTCAACATATTCCATACCCAAAGAAATTTGGTTCTTGGTTGACCACATTTATTTACATGGATTAAAAGAAGCAAATCTCTTTGAGCAGCCAGGGTTGCATTGTGAGGTTTTGCAAATAAGAGACTGGCTTGACAGTGGGTCAGTGGACCCCATTCCAGGAAGCATCCACTCAGTTGCCGAGGCCCTTTTGCTGCTACTAGAGAGTACAGCAGACCCAATCATTCCATACAACCTGCAGTCAGTGTGTTTGAGAGCATCGGCCAACTATTTACAGTGTAAACAAATAATTATGGAATTGCCAGAATTTAGGAAAAATGTTTTCCTCTATCTGTGTGAGTTCTTGCAAGAAGCCTTACAGCACAGTGCAGATAATGGCCTGGATGCTAAAACACTGTCCACACTGTTTGGGGCAATTTTTCTAAGAGATAATCCGAACCAGATGCAGGAGCCACAGTCTAAGATTAACAAGCAAGTCACAGACAAGACGAAGGCCCAATTTGTATACCACTTTTTAGTAAATGATCACAGTGACTTAATATTTTCTAGATAATTTAATTGATATGGTACTAAATCTAGTTATTTAAGTTGGTTAAATACTCAAAACATTCTTTTTATTTTAGTATTATTAACAACAACAAAAATTAATTTATTTTAATTTTAGACATAAATATGACCATTCAGTCATTAGAGGAAAGGCAACACGCCCATGTTATGATTTCATCTTTGACTATAAGCAAATTTAAGTATAGTGACATATTTTGTATATTCATTACCATAAATGATAAAAATATCAACAATTTATAATTTTCTAAGTAGACATGAAATGCTTAGTAGAACAGTATTATTCATCGAAATATTTACCATTAGTGGCCAATCAATGTTAAAAAAAAGTTTTAGCAAGGTTTTCATCTTATTTTGTATAATAATTTTGATTCAGTTGTGTAACAACTTTTGTCTTATTTATTGTTATTGTCATTGACACTTTTTTGTCAAAAATGCATTGTTAAACTTGATGCAATTACAAATAAATTACGCAAGCCTAAGTGACGGAGCTTTTTTATTAGCAATTTTATAAAAATTTCATATAAGTATGTTATACCTACTTACAACACTTCAATTCATTAACATATATATATCTTAAACGGCCCATTCACTACCTGCATGGCAGGCCGCCGCGCAGGCAGGAGACTGTTCACATCTATCCTGTGTACGGCCCACGTATGAAGTCTCGCAGGACGCATTGATGGATGGCTTGCACGCTGCGACTACATTCATATTCCTGCATTACGCGGCGGATGGCGTCAAGGCGGACTGCAATGCAGGCTAATGAAATTTACATAAAATTTCCCACGAATCGTAGCAGTTTGTTTATATATATATTAAGTATAACTGTAATTGAATCGTGAAACTAATTTTTATTAATTTAAAAATTTCTTAAATAATTATGAAATCTATGAATTTATTAAACTACCTAAATACATATATCAAAAATGTTTTAATTACAGTACCAATAAAATCAAAGAAAAGTGTTTCCTAAGTAAGGTATTTTACACGTTTTACATCTCGTTAAACTCTGTGTAAACAATAAAAACGTTCAAAACGCGAAAAAATTAGTTTCTTGTGAATTTAAATTATGCGATTCCTATCAGCAGCTGACTTGTTCCGCAATATTTCTGAACGGATTACTGTTATATCATCGGAAAGATAGTTACTATACAAAGATTATTTTGATTTTAAGTATATTATGTAGAAAGAAATAGTGATAAAGAAAGTTAGAACTATATTCCTTATTTTAAGCCAAATTACAAAAGATTTTATCCTAAAAGATCCAATAATTACGAAGATAATGTAATTTAAGTGAAAGTGAAAACATAAATATTGACTCCCGCCGCTTAAGACTATTTAAAAAAACCTAAATAAGTGAACTAAGTTATTTAAGAGAAAGTGAAAATATAATGTATTACAAACACAATTAACAATATTACTGAGGATCCCGATAATTAAACGAAGACATGGCTCAAAGTACTTATATCCAAGCCAAAACTCTTAATAAAAAAAAATCAGTTCAGCGGTCGATTTTGTAGTCGATATGTCAAATAGGAAAGCGGTAAATTTTAAAATCACCAATCATATCGCTGCATTTCATCGTCCAGCGAAGCCAAACTTCACTCGAGTCGTGATTAAAAACATTTTCATAGCTCACCGATTTTACTTCATATCCTGTCTTTGTTTCAAATTCATAAAATAACTGTTTCGATTAACGGCGGTCGGGCCGTAATTAATAAAAGTCGGTGCAGTAAATAAGATTTGATAAAAATTCATAGTTCGTGAACGCCGACAGACGTGCAGAGGTCCGTATTTACAACAAAAGTAGTTTTCTTTGTGTGCTACAATGGAGGTTCAAACTAAATGTGAGTTTCTTTTAATTTTACTCTTATTTTTAATTTAAATTAACATTACTGTGGACATCTAGGCTAAAGTATTTTATGTTAGTCATTCCGTTATTTTATTTTGGTGTATACAACAGAAAAGTGCATTTTATAATGGTGCTTTCGTAATGTTTACTCTTGACAAAAAAATTGGTGTAAATTTTTAATTGTACAAATTAGAATACTTGAAACGTATAGCATGATGAAGAATACATATAATTTATTCCCCAATAATCCATTTAGAATCACCTTCAATTATTATTATTTGTGTCCACTATTTTATAAAAAAATCTAGATATTTTATAAAACTCCCTACAGGACCCACGCTTAACAGTTGGAACATATTATTATTGTATCTATTGAAATATCTAATTAAATAAACATATCTACCAACCTAGAAATATTGTATGTTGTACAGATTAATTAGGTAGGTAATATAATTAGTGCACCACTAAACATGTGCACCAACTTAAACAATAATAACAATAAATATATAATAAATAACAACTTAGAAAATCTGTAATTTCCAGTATAATCATGTTATGTTTTATTTCATTATATATTTTTTTTAATAGATGGGAGATATGCAATTGTTTTGTTTACTTAAACATTGTTTTTCTTTGTTACCTATTTTTCATTTAAAATTAAACTGTCAGCATGTATTTAAATATTATTTTTATTAAATCCTGTATAGATTAGATTTTCTATAATTTGCTTTACCTACATTTACAAAAAGTAATTTGTCAAAGTAGGACATATCAAAAATAAATAGGCATTAAAAAGACCAGATTAAAGAACCCAATGGGTACTTTGGAAATATCTGATACTAGTGAAGGAAGTATGTCTATACACATACCTACCTACATTTACATACCTAATATAATATAGATGTAATAATAATTTTTTTCTCCTCAAATTTTGGTTACAATTGTTGGCACACAAAAATGTCTTATTTTATAAAGTGACACAATTTGTAGGACTCTGGAATTTAAACTAGATCAAAGATCTGTGTCTTAGGCTTGCAGGCTCCCCACTTCTTACAAGCCTCTTTAAGTCAGGAGCATAAAATACGAAGGTTTCGTCACGACGACTTCCTTCATCAGAAGGCTTTAAATCTTTCAAATTAAGTTTCGCAAATAAACTGCGAGAGACCGAAGTGCGAGCCCTTATTTGAACCCAACGGGCTCTTGTCGAGTTGTTAATATTTGTATTTTGTTCATAAAATTTATGAAAAAAAAAAACAGTATATATATATCTAGACCATAAACATCTCTGCAGCACTAAATGAGCCACCATATTGCTGGGCAGAAAGATCACGCGTCTTTTTAAGGACCTTAAAATAACTCATGAAAATAGTGAACTAAAACAATCTTATTAACTTTCTCATTTACGTTTTATTCATTTGAGCTTTATTGGACATTACAATTAAGTACAAATTAAAGACTTAATGCTATAAAGCATTCTCTATCAGTCAACCATCAAGCCAAACAGAAAAAGTGATCAATTGGTAGGAGCAGTAATTGAATTCATAAGGTGGTTTCGTTTTGGGGACTTAACACGCTTTCCAAAGGTTATGTACCTAATAATATCTTGCTAATGAGATTGTAGTTAATTCTATATTTTTAAAATGACGTTGTATTCTAAACGATGTATTGACTAATGATTCTCCTCACATATTATGTGTATATCTACACTGATACGGTTACGGAATTCTGCTTCGGAAAAAAGATAAGACTGTTTCAATACCTACTGCAACGGCTGTTTACATGAACCAGAGACGGTTAAAACCGGCCGCCATTTATTATTCGCGGTCACAATAAGAAAGTTGAGCGTGCGCAGGCGTGTGTCATCTCGCTCCGACCGTTGTATTCGAGTGCAGCCGTTGGTGACTCATGCGTTGGTGACTTAGTTCAAACTATTTAAATGTTATTTTAGTTAGTGCTTATTTTGTAAAATATCCTTTTTTTAATGTTTTTTCGCAATTAGCTACGAGATCAACAATATTGCATATTTTCTACTTTTACCCGTTTTTACTTTAAAAAAAAAAGGTTGAATATTTGTTTGTCCGACAACCGAGAACGTTTCACCACTATACATTAGGAAGAGGATGTTAGGCTCGTTGCAGGAGAGGGATTTTCAGATGTACGATGAATTTTGTAAATGAGGTTTCTTTATTTTTAGGCTTACAGTACGTATTTGTTTACACTCCATTATTTCGTTGTTAAAATGTCGTCTATTAAGATTACCCATACAACCTCAAATCGCTTTGGTTGATTCCTCATAACAATGAAAGTGTTGAATGAAAAAATGTATAGTAAAATTGAGGATATAATTATACACTGATTACTATACGATGTGAAAACGCGATAACTAAAAATTTTCATAATAGAAAAAAAAACAAACTTGCCTCGAAATTTTATAAGAAAACTTTACATATACCAATGTATTTTTTTTTGTATTTTTATATCAACTGACCTAAATTGAACACGTATACTATGCGATATATACATTTTTGAAATGGCTGTAATTGCGTTTGTAAACAAAATGAACCGTATTAGTACCGGAAAAAAATGAATCCAAGGTAGTATCGACTATCTATTTAAACCATGCTTGCTTCTTTGTTAATACTTGACGATTGTTATATGAAATAGGTATAAGAAGATTAAAGTAAAGCTTATGGTAATAATTGAAGCTTTTTTTGATTCTACAAATGTATATCTGCTTTCCTTGTTAGATTTATTTATTTATTCGTGGCATCATGAGCACTTCGGAAGTGGTCACAGCAAATAAAATTAATATGTAACAAATACACTTACAAAAAAAAATATATATAGAATATAATAGATATGTGATGTAAATCATATATGTATATCCCAATACCTGCGCCACGAAATGATCGCCTATTAAACAAACGCGCCCACAAGTTACGCTTTAATGAGTTCGAATTAGAATTGAATATGTCAATATTAAGTTCACTCCTGCTCAACACATTGTTCAAACTCTTGCAAGCTCTATAAAGAAAACTGTTTTGTCTATATTTAGTCTAGAGATAGGTCATCTGGCTATACGTCCCGCTGTTGAGTACAAACACTTCTAAGGAGGGGGTTTTGGCTAAAGTCAGTCACGTTTTTCCAAATTGGGACGAACAAGTCGTAATCCTGGTGGTAAGCGACATCCCAGTCTATAGCAGTTCCAGTGTAACCCTGAGTTTTAAATCACAAAGATTTGAGGGTCCCAGCTACTGCCTTACCCTAAGGCGTAAGTTGACAAGTCCCATGTAGGTACCTGTAATTTCATCAGTAAATTAACACTTCAAAACCGGAACACAATAATGCTCACACATTTCTGATTGGAGGCAGAAATAGACGAACAATTTCTCAAGAAGCTCTACTGCTACGCTAATCCCTAATGCTTTTGCCAGTTATTACGATTATAATACAGTGCACATACAAAGATAGAACATAGAAAAATTTCTTTCCAGTGGGACTTGAACCCGCGATGCACCGTAGCATTGCTCTTACTAACCGACCCACAGGTCAAGTTATCGAGCTGTCGAAACTCTCCTATGTGTTTTTTTATAGAACTTGGTACTGGGTTTCGGCATTCGTCGCCGCTAGTGAAATCTAGTGAGAGATTTTTTGAAAAACTTCACCCGGTGTCTTACTTGGTGCTTGGTACTTGGTGCAACGGGCTGGTATCCGCAACTCGACGACAAAGCGCCTATTCTGCGTGTGGTGGGTGCAGGGTCCTACTCGTGCCACCCAAGCTCCTCCAGGAATCTCAGCAGCCTCCTTGGTTTGCTGAAGACTTCGGGGAGCGACCTTGGCACTCCAAGGTATTTTGCCCTGTAGTTGGCCACGCCGGAGCACTGAAGTAGGATGTGCGCAGCCGTTTCCTCCCCCTCCATGCACGCTCTGCATAGAGGGCTGTCTGTGATACCTAAATTGAAAAGGTGTTTATTGTATGGACCATGACCCGTTAGGGCGGCAGTTAGAGTGCGAAGCTCTTGCCTTTTAAGTTTAATTAGTATTCGAGATAGACAGGCATTGAGCGTTGGGAGTGCTTCCCTCGCCTGTCTACAAACCGTAAGGGTGGTCCATGTATTATTATGTGAAGATTTTGTACCTCTGTGTATAGTTGTTCTGGACCATTGGCAGGGGAGGGACACTATCGGTTCTGGTCCTACAGCGTCCCTCTCCGACCCTTTCCTGGCCCTCACCCGGTGTCTTTACTGATCTGACTTTAATGTCGCTTTTTGATCCAATGTATTATTGAGGTTTTTTGTGAAATAAGTCCACTACTTATGATTCAGGGGTTACTTTGCGGAAGTCCATGTTAATAAAAATGGAAATAAATTAATTTGCTACTCCGCGAACCCAGTGAAGGTCTCATAGTGCAAAATAGCTGCGCTTGTGTTGAATATTTTTTCATGCAGTTAATTATAAATAAAATTAATAACACAAGCGCAACTACAGTCACAAACCACCACCCGTGTTTCGCCTCTCCACGAGGCATCCTCAGGGGCTGGTTGACTGCTCGACGCTTGGCCGAAGATTTCGCTTTTCACTGAGTTCGCGGATTAGCAAATTAATTTACTTCCATTTTTATTTGTATGGTTACTTGTTATGTTGTGAGTTTGAGGCTAGGTTATTTAGTGTAGTTGTATGTTAAAATAGTTAATCCTCGATTTTCCATAATTTCATTTTTGAGATTATAGACAATCTACAAGCTAGTGCCTGCTGCTGCCTGAAGACATGCCTCTGTAACGATAATCAGGTATCTGACCTTGATCTGGCGCACGAGACCGCCGACGTGTGGGATGGTACTAAGAAACAAGAATTAAAACGGATTTCAGTGCATTCAAAGAAGACTTAATACGATGTTAGCTTGGTAATTTAGGAATAGTGAACCTACCATTAATATGGAGAGTGGGTGTTGTGTATTTGATGTGTGATGGTGTGTTATAACCAAAGAATGTATAC